CCATGGTGGCTAATGGCCTATTCCAAATGCAGAGTTCAGACTGGATATGGCTGTTAGGTACTTTGCAGCCAGCTTAGAGATGATGCATCACTGTTACCTGTTAGATGTTTCTTTTGGAATGAAGGTGGCATAAGACATTTACTGAGCAGACTTTCAGGGAGCACCTGCTACCCTCAGGCTCACACGTGAAGAGCACGCAGGCTCCGGCAGAGATGAACAAGAGCGGCATTTATAATACCCGATGGTGGACGGTGTAAAGGGGCACTGGAGGGGCGGGGCAGGTACCCAGAGGCGGCTTTGGCTCCAGTCCCTGGAAGACAGCATCTGAGGGGAGGCTTAGGGAAATGAGCAGGAGTCGGGCAGAGGGCATGGAAGTGATGGCTCTCCCCACGGAAGGCACAGTATTTGCAGAGGCACAGATGGGAGTTAACAGCAGGGAGTGGTGACTGCCAGGAACTACGAGCAGTTTGGTGTTGGAGGAGCTTAAACAGGAAGATGGAAGGGGGGTGGGGAGCTGTGCCCGAGCAACAGGACAGAAGCAGGTAGCAGGGGATTTCCCTGGGGAAGGCCCTGGACTGCTGGAGTGGGCGGTGCTGTCGGGCTGATGTTGAGCACTGGAGTGACAGACGGGTGGTGTTCGCGAAAGACCCCTTGAATGACTGAGGAGAGCAAGCTTGCCAGGAGAGGCCAGCAAGTCAGGCATGTAGTAAGAGTGCTTCTCAGGCAGAGAAAAGATGCTGCTCTGGGTCGTGTTGGACAAAGACATGCAACAAATGCACACACTACAACGGCAGAGTAGGGCAGACCAAGGCCGCAGGATCGAGGTGCCAAGAGGCACAGCAATGGTGCTCGAGGTGTAAATTCTCCCCCGGGTAGAAAAAGAGAGATGAAGGCAAAAGCTTTTCTTTTTTTCGGCGAAAGGATGAATTTCATTTTCACCACGTGAGGTGTCAGGTGTCCATGGGGTATACAAGTCTGAAAACCCACAGGAATAGTCTGGAGTAGAGATACTAGCTTCCAAGTCAACATAATGGGGTGAGAAGACCCATGTTGCACTCTAGTCGGCAAGAAAAATAGCAGGTGAAGGACAGACCCCGGAATCAGAAGATAGAAGACATTATTCCAAAGACTGAGGAAAAAGCCCGAGGGCTAGAGAATCAGGTGTCACAGAAACCAAGGGAAGAGAGTTTCAGGAAGCTGTGAGTGTTTCCCTACCGTTAAATGCAGTAGAGGAAGGTCCATGACATTGAGGACCGAGAACTGTGCACTTGCCGGAACGATCAGGAGGTCCTACGTATGCAGACCAGTTAGACTTCTTGGTTGTAGGTAACTGGGCCCACTCCAGGCCCTCTAAGCAGACAGGTAGTTACCAGTCAGGATGCACTACCTCCAGGATGTCTCAAGCTCAGGTCTGGATGTCCTTCGTGGCACAGCAGCGGCCTCCAAGATGAATACCCGCTCTCGCAACAGAATGCCAGGGGTGGCACCCCTGTTCCCCTGTACTCTGCTCAGCACCTCTGACCAGGTCCGAGAAGCTTCGCCAGAGCTGCTCCAGATGAAGAAACGCCTCAGCTGCCACCCCCAAAAGAGCCACTCTCCCCCAAAACAACCTGCTAGGTGAGCAGCGCCATGCCTCAGCCAACGTGCTCACCCTCAGGCTTCCAAAAGCTCCCTGTGCATTACTTACATCACTTGCAAATGATATTTATGCGCAGCATAAAATGAAGATGGAGTCCAAAAGGGAAAGAACAATCTTTATTCCTTAGAAACACATTTGTAAAAATATATCAATAAGATTATAAGATTCAGAACACATTTATTTCTATGCAGCACGTACATTGAGAAGCAGAACACCTGCTAGTGTGGAGTACACCTGTAAACAAGTACCTGGGGGTTATTGGTCACCAACTCCACTTGGCAGGGTGTGCGGCTGACTCCCTCCTTCTGGATACATTTTTGAGTAACCAAAAATATCTATCTCTCAGGGCCTAGCATATATTTTAAAAAGAGGCCTGAAAGGGGCCAAGTTATGATTACCTATATAAAAAGGGTATAAGAGTTGATTTCCCCAAAAAACTAATGAGAAATAACTCCATCCTATCTATGAAGAGAAGAAGGTTTGACTCCTGGTTTGAAATGGGGGGAAATAAATATAGTGGGGTGGATTCTACCCTAAGAGACAACAGGTTGATTTCTGATTCTACACGAAAACTGTGCAACGTCCCTCCTCTCCTGTTCTACAGGACACTTTGGCACGACTTCATTAAGACCTCATGCTTTATTTGAGCCATAAACATGTCAGATTGCATGTCGCTTTTTAAAAGAGTAAAGTCTAGGCTAAAAACCAACTCTCAAATTCTACGAATTCTGACAGCATGTATTCATGATCATATCTTCTGAAATCACCACGTTAGCAGCACCAATTGTGAAGACGTAAGAAATTATTCTTGAACCCAAGCAGCAAATTCTATCAAAATGGATGCTATGCAATTTATGATTAGAAAAAATCGCTAAACTTCAAAGTGGCGAAACTGCCTTAAGATCTGAAATTCAGTCTCCCAGTATTTACATAATAGCTAACAAGCTAGTTATGTAGCTTCTGAAAAACGGTCAGCCTGGGTTAGAGAAGGGGAGACCGCAGTTTTCTGTGAGAAATTTAGTTCAAATGAGGTCTCCAGCCTGACAATAGTGAATTTTAACAAGTACAGGATTTTAGAGTTGGAAAGGACCTTGGCACTCAGTCCAATCCACTCTTGCCCGAAGGGACAGGGTTGTGCAAGGTGACCCCCAGCAGCGCAGGGGCTGGGCTCCAGCCATCTCAGCCCACGCGGCACCATGGAACGCTACACCCAGTGGCTCCCAAGTGGTTTTGGTTTTTGGTCTCATTCAGTTAAATAACAAAGAAATGTCAGGAACATAACAAAAGGATATACATAGACTTTGACTCCAATTTTAAAATCAGAAAATGATTCCTGAGCCTTTAACTACCTTCATTTTATTAAGGATGTGCTCAACAGTGAGTTATGAATAGCTGCTGTGGGTACTTTCCAATATTTACACGGACACTGAAAATACCTTTAGAACTAGTCCTCACAGACATCTTTACAAGCACCTCCGCGCGCTGTCAAGACACTTTCATGGAATGTAAGCAAGCTATGGTGGTGAATGGAAGTGAGATGCTTCGGTCTCTCAAAGTGCGGTCATGAGTTTATCTCGGTACATTATACTGTGCACGCCTCCTAAGTTCTTCTGGTTCTGGTCGTGGACATAATCGAAATGGCCGTCCTCTCCACTGGCTGACGCTTTCCAATGTGGCCTGTCATCCTGAAAGGATGGCCTGTTTTGTTGGCAGAGTGGATGGTTAGTGGGGGATGAAAAAATGCAGAAATGTGAGTGAAACAACACAGCACAAAGGCATGAGCCCCGTGCCTGGGACAGCTACAAACGGAAACCAGTGCCTTTTCTGCTTGAAAGTATTTCTCACACTCAGAGGCCATCATCTATCCAGCTTCAAGTTGAGAGCAGTCCTAACTGTCGCCGTACCATCATTCCTCACGGAGCGACTGGGGAAGTCAGTCTGGGGAAGTGCGGTGGAGGCGAGAGGCTAAGGCAGCAGGGCTCTCTGGACTGTGCGCCCCTAGCTCTGGAGGGGCTGGTGAAATGCCCGGCCGTGTCCCCAAGGATTCTGATCGGTAGGTCTGGGGTGGGGCTGAGAATCTGCATTAATCGCACCAGCTGGTGCCAAGGTATCTGGAAGACTGTTTCAGTCTTCCTCGAATCCCGGGAAAGTCTGGGTCATACCTCAGAAAGAACTAATATGACCAAATATGCAGGAAGAAGTGTAAAATTTTATAAAAATCAGGTTTATAAAAAGAGCATCTCTATAAATCTCTCGTTTCTTATATCTGGAAAATAAGCTGCTTTTGCAACACAAAAGCACTTGGAATTGTTACTCCACTAGACTAACTTGCTTTTAAAAAGTCCAAACGATCCAGTGTTGATGACAAGACTACACCGTTGTTCTTCGAGATCCCAAAAAACTGTGTAAGAAATATCAAGAACTAATTGATCTCATTTGCTTTACTTGAAAGGGATTTGTTTCCATCACTCCATTCTCAAGGAGGAATGCCAGCAACCTCACCAAGAAATAACTTAATGCAAGCTGAATTCACCAACTATGCTTCTGAAAGAGCTTCGCACATAAACACCAATTAAGACTGATCTGAAATTCAAATCTAAAGAGGAACTTTGCGTTTACAAAGCTAGCATTAAAAGACCGCTTGAGCCTAACTAGCAGCAGCAAGGCAAATGCCAGATTACTTAGGAAGGATTGTGGCTGGCTAGGGCAGAGGTGGGTACACAGGGCCCTGGGGCTGAAGCCCGCCCACATCTCTTCTCCAAAGTAAGTTGCACTGGCACACAGCCACCGCGGAGGCCATTCACTTCTGCATTGTCTGGGGCTTTTCCCCACTACAATAGCAGAGTTGAGTAGCTGTGACAGAGACCACAAAGCTGAAAATGTTGACCATCTGGCCCTTTACAGAAAAAGTTGAACAATCTCCTGGGCTTAGAAAAAAGACATTCATTGCCACAGAAAGCACCCCCTCCTTCACCTTCCCCTTGAGAAAAATCTTTTCAAAAAATCCACAACAAAACTCCCCAAGTTTTGGTCACACTTTTAGTCAGTGAATTCTCAGGTGAGGAAAACATTTTAAGTAACATTTCGAACACAAAATTAACCAAAAGCGTCTAAGGTTACAAAGACCAAAAACAAATCAAAACAACAACAACAAAAAAGAGCCCACCAATTCATTTTCATTTCACAGAGCATGACTCTGCTAAAGCCAGTCTCACCCTGGCTTCGTTTGCTCTGCCACTTGCTGATCTCTGCCACCACAAGGTAACTCTAACAGTTGCTTCTAAAGCAGAATCTCCACGCACAGCTCGTAAAATGTGGGCTTTTCTGGAGAAAGTTCAGGTCTCAGAGCTCAGGCACTTACCTGACATTTGGAGAGTGAGGGTGCCACCGAGGCTGGCCGGGGTGGACATTGGGATGATACTGAGGCTAGAAATAAAACAACAAACTTGATTATTCCATGACCTTTTGGTTTCAATGGTCTTCATTTACTTTCTCTTTCACTGGCCTCCAGCCACAGCCACCTGGGCTTGAACCCGAGAAGCTACAGAACAACCTGGCTGGGAGGGGGAGGAGCGTTTCCCTACAAAGACTGGGGTTTGGGCGGTCACCCTCTGGGGAAAGATGAAAGTGTCTGCCTTGAAAGGGCTCCAGGAGCATGCAGGACTGGCAGTACTCATGAGGGAACAGATGGAAGGAAGGTGCCAGAAAGACAGTTTCTTCTGAAACTGGTCAGCAGTTTCTTCCGAAACAATTTCTATCATTGCTAAAAATGACAAGCACCACCCCTGACAGTGATGTTTGCAGAGAGATAAAAGACTGGTCAGTGAGGCCAAGGCAGCAGCAGGGTTATGGGTGAATGTTTTATTTTCCTCCATTGTTTAAACAAAAATTAATTTTCTAAATACAATCTCTCTACCTCCCATCTCCTCCTCCCCCCCGAAAAAAAAAACCACTAAAACTCAAACCAAATCATCCAAAGCAGTACTTATCCTGACAAAGTATAAGGAAGATGCCCATGTTAAGATGAGAAGATCCCTGGGGATGACTCAAATGAGATGGGCCAGTCTGGGTAGAGGCTGTCTTTCCACTTCTGGCCTGCAGAGGGCAGCAGACCTAGACACTGCCAGAAGCCCTGGGGCACCTCAAGGCTAAACCTTCCCCTGGGCAAATGAGGCCCTTCTGACATTTGTTAGGACAGTCTTGCCACCCATTACTCTTTTAATTATGTCTACTCTTTCCTTTCCATCCCCTGCTGCTTAGGTTAATAAGTAGGAGGCAGCTCTCTTGTTATGGAAAATTCTCAGCAATTCTCTTCCTTCAGTTTCAGGGACCTGAGATGCCCTGCCTGGATATTCCCTATTCCAGTGGCCCCTCTCCCTTAACAATTGTCCTCAGCAAACTCAGGGTGCAGACCCCATAGGGACATGTGGTACAAAAAGGAATCTGTGGAAAGCATCCCAGTAGTGGAATTCAGGGGGTGGCCTGGGGCTTTAGAATGTCCCAGATGCAGTCTCTTCACATTTCTCTCTCATAGGATACGACACTCAGAGTTCAGATAGCTGCCCAGAGCCGAACTGTTTCAGGTGTTTCGGTCACACAACAAGGTCCAAAATAAGGGTCTGGTTTTCAACAATGGCAAATGACCCAGAATATCGTGCGTAATCAGTCTTCAAACACAACCACACTAAGAGTCATCAGAGAAAGATGGGTATCTCACTCATAAAGAGGCAGAAGGAGGAAATTTCAGAACCTTCCTTGGTAATGTATTCACACTCGATAGCGACCAAGGAATATTCTAATAATGTTAACGCACATGGCTCACACTGGAATATAACAGTGAGCACGCGGAGATGTGTGTGTGTTTCTGCATCCGGAACGACTGGAATGTTGCCTCAGACAACTGGACAAAGAGGAGGGAAGTTAGACGTCCTGTAACTCTAGGGGCAGTCCCAGACAATGAAGAGCTGTCTTCCCCCAAACGCCAACAGTGTCCTCATCAAGAACACAGCAAACCATCCTTTGCAGTTGGCTAACCTTGCTGAACTCAGAGTAACACAAAGGCAGCAAAACCAGCCTCCTGCAAACCTCTCTCCACACTCAGGTGCTAATCAGGCCATTTCTCAGAATGTTCTCTTCCCAGTCAATTTACTCCCAAGCCTTGAGAGCCACATGGAAATCATCTCGAAAGTGCAGAGGGCCCAGGGCTGCCTGAGTTGCCAAGAGAACAGTGTCCAGGTAACAGTTTTCACAGATGTGACTTCAACAAGGTTCTCTCTGAGCAGAGAATGCACAGGGAGAGCACAGATCCAGGCTGCTGGTGGTGGAGGTGGAGGGTGGGGCAGTGTCCAGCTAGGACTGCTTTTATGTTTTTTAATTTTTTCTTGCAAGCAGTAACCACCCATCAACATCAACAACTCTTCCTCCCCTCACAACATTCCAGCCACTCAAACCTGAAAATGCCTAAAAAAAAGAAAGAAAAAAAAAACAACAACCAAAAATCCTACCCACCAATCTGTAAATTAAGAAGGTTCAAGAAGCCAGAGAAAGCAAGGAGATCTGGAACCTGTAAGTTTTCCTAAAACTCAGAAGTCATGTTCAGGTTGTGCACATTGGGACCATGGATTCTATTTCCTTCATGGATGGAAGATGCTATCCCCAGAGCCTTCAGAAACACAATGTGGAGACCTTGGAAAGACACTGTACACTGGCCCCGGCCCCATCTTGGGAATCACTATCTGGAGTAACGAAGGACCAAGAGAGAGACGAACAAGGGCGAGCTCCACAGGGCACAGTATGGGGAACTCAAATCCCATTGGCTCGACTTGACTGCATGAGCCAAGTCCCCTGGGCAAGCGCGCTGACCCCCAACTAGGTCATCAGGCACAGATGCCACCGCCAAGCACAAAGGCCACCAAGACAGCAAGAGCTCCCCGACCTGGCGGGAGCTCCCCTCTCGCTCCCCACCTCATGAAAAGCACCTTAGGAGCACTGACACCCCGCTCCTGCCTGCCCCCACACTTCTGATTCCATCAGCTCAGGGCACCTCTCAAGCATGGGTGGCCCTGCTATCGCTCCTGCTATCGCTCGCCAGATGGTTTCAATGTTCAGAGGGGAGAGAGCTCCAGGGCCAGTGACTGCAACCCAGGGGATCCGAGAGGGGTCCTGGGAAGAGATATCTAGCCTATGTGGTGGACCATGAAGACATTTTCATGTGCAGGCAGGAGGCGAAGGAGCTGCAGGCAGCAGTGTGGAGCAAGCACAGGGCGCCACTTGTGTAAGCCTCTGACAGTCAAACTCAAGACCTGTGATGAGCAGTGACGAGAAATGTCAAAAGGTAAGCTGGAGTCAAGCAAAAAGTAGGCTGCAGACAGCTGTGGGGGCCAGTGAGGGCTCCCCCGGGTGGGCAGGCAGGCAGGGGTGTGGGCCGGCTGGCAGCTTAGACCGCGGAGCCAGCACGAAACACACCCAGACTTCTGTAGTAACAGGCCCAGCACGAAGCTTTTACAAAGCAAAGCACTGCTGCATGGAGGTTAAGCGCAGACACCCCTGCAAAGGGGGGAGGGCTGCTAGTTGCGGAGGGGGGTTGCCTATGATCAAGTGATTTTGGGAAATGAGATTTTAAAAAATAAAAGGTGTCATTCTTACAGGATTTCTCAACAAGCCGTCACGGGCGCTGTTAGGTCCCACTAAGGGAAGAAGCCACCGGCACGTTGCAAACAGGTACCCGAGGCATCCCTGCCCCTCAGAGCCTCACCAGGGCCTCATGTTCTCCAGGCTGGGACCAAAGCATGGCTTCATCTGAGTGCTCCTACGAGGCTGTGCTCGACCACCCAGAAGCTCAAGCATATGTCCTTGCTATTGGCCAGCGAATAAGAAAAACAGGCAGCTCAGATGACCAACAGAAAGCAGGAGTGGGGGTGGGGGCAGGGAGAGGATACAGGGCTCCTTACTGTAGTCCCCCAAAAGAAAGTCATGTACAACATGTAATGTGATGACTTCAAAATCTGCTCAACATGGAAATTGATAAGCTTCAAGAGGCATGACATAAAACCTTTAAAAGCAGCATCTCACCTGGTAATTATGAACTTCAGGGTTTGTTTTAGAGCTAAGAAAAAGAAAAGAAAAGAAAAATTGTAATGGCAATGTAACAGGTTACACAGACTACTTTAGCCACCATAAACTAACCTCAAGTGTGGCTCGAAACTATCACGACTGTGACTTTTTTGGTTTGTTGCTTAATGAATATATAACCAGGGAAACCAACAGCAAATTTCCTTCATCGATTTAGAGCTCATAAATATAAATGTGTTGGTAATGTTGTACAACCTGGTTTCGGATGTCACGTCGGTAGTAAATGGAGGTCATTTCAGTTGGGCAAACCAAGTCATCCCAGTGGCCACCCCAGGGCTGCCCGGGCATTGCTCAGGGGCCCCTAGCACGAGGCAGCTCGGCCGGGCCGACAGGGCCCTGCAGCGGGCTGGCCACCACTCGGGAATGCTGGGGCCATGCAAGGCCCAGGCCTGGAAACTGCACATCTGTTACTATTTAATCCACACATCAAGGTTATGATGTCAGTACGTGTTACCACCTCATTTCACAGATAAAGGAACGGCTGCCTAACAGAGAAGTTAGGGACTGCAGGGAGGTGAGAGGCTGCTGGGGGTTGCCCAGGGCTTCAGCAGCGCAGCTGCGACCAGGGACCGCTGCTTACCCCAAACCTATATCCTCTCCACTATGCCTCGCTGCTTTCTCAGTGCTTGGAAAGTGGTTCTGGGGTCCACCATCCTATTTTGATTGACTCTTAAGTATATATCTATTATGATTAAAAAAAAATACGGCTGGAGAAGGTGGGTATGAACATGGTGTGTTTACTGCATGAGTCTGGCATCTGCCAGGAAAACCACAAACAAGCACAACTGCTGGGCTGTGTTGCCAGGGTTTGTGCTTGAAATCAAGGTTTACTCCTCCGTCAACAAAGCGAGGGGTGCCTGTCGCTGTTCTCAGTCTGGCTGGGGGTCTAACTGGCCTCGCGTTCCATTTTTCAGACAGGGCCCATGCGGACAGCGAGGCTCTGAGCCACGGTCCCCTCCGGCTGATTTCATCAGGGTGTTTAAATGTTCTTCAAGGTGCTATTTTTCTGGTGTCACCTCTGTACCCCAGAGCACAATTTCATCCCTGCCTCCCATAGCAATCCCACTCACCCTGGGATCCCTCAGGCTGCGAACAGCAATTGAACAGCTGCGAACAGTGGTTATTAGCTCATTTGTTCCTAAAGGGTGTATTTACTGATTTCTTTCTTTCTTTCTTTCTTTTTTGGGTGGAGATCTTTTTCTCCATTTGTTTTGGTTCCCAATATATATAATCTCCACTAGATGCTAAGCAGAAAATGTAATTTTATTAGAGAAAAACAAACAAAGCAATCATTTTCTTAGAGAGCAAAGGAAAGAAATGTTATAGCCCACAAGCCTGTGAGAATTAAGCAAGACATGCTGTCTGCTAAGAAAGGTGCAGACACTTTCCGCATGCCCTGCCAAAGGCTCCCAGTCTTACCCTACAAACCCTTGGCAGGCAAAACACTGCGACTCCCTCCCCCGGGTGGGGAGCCCCTTCACAAGGTGCTGAGAACTGAACCCAAGGCAAGAGTCAGATGCTTGTCCCCACAGTTTGGAATCAGAGGTTGAGCTTCCACTTGTGCGAAACAAGAGTTATGTTTTCTAGAACTGTAGGGTCCCAGCAAGTGTCTGGGGCTGCCTAGGAGGGAAGGAGGAACAGGACAGCGGGCACTGCCCAGCCCTCCCAACATCCGACACCAGTGCTGCTTGGCCAGCCATCTGTGTTAGGTCTCTAGGTCAGGCTTTTGGGAGGTAAAAATCAGAGGTTTAGAGAGACACGGGTCACCTCCTCGTTTTCAAATGAGAAACAAAGGAGGCCCAGAAGGCAAAGGTAGGCCCCAGAACTGGGTCAGAGAAGGCTGGGGTGAGGTGGCGATTGCTCAGCCTGACCAGGACATCAGCCCCCTGCACTGTCCCACGCCATGTTCTGCCGTGTGCATGGCACAGCTTTGAGACTTGTGCCTGGGATGTCAGTAGCTGGGTGGGACGCAAGCGTTGACACGATAATGGTCTGTGATTTTCGAGCATAAGAGCTGTCCACCAAATAGGTCAAAACTCATATAAGTAAGCAGCTATTGCCAGACAAAGAGAGGCACGTATAAGGTAAGACAGCACATTCTCACCTGGGGCACACTGTGATCACCTGGGGGCCTTAAACACCACCAGTAGCTGGGCTTCACCCCAGAAATTACCCTGGGTGTGGTATGGCTGAAGGGGAGATGCTGTAGAGCTCAGCAGGGGGTTCCAACATACAAGGGAGTTTGAGAACACCTGTGTTGGTGGGGGGTGGGAGGTGGGGCTGGCAAACTATATTCCTCAGTCTAAACCTGGCCCACCTGAGGTTGTGGATTAAGTTTTACTGCCACAAATCGTGCTCACTCATTTATGCACAGTCGGTGGCAGCTTTTGTGCTCCAGAGACAGAGCTGAGTAGTCGTGAGAAAGACAGTGCAGCCATCACTGCTTAAAACATTCACTAGCTACACTTCGCAGAGAGGTTGTTGACTCCCATGCTAGTGCTTCAGTTCTATGCTGAGCTTTTTTTTCTGCAAGAATTTCAATAAGGGTGTTTAATAAAGGTCTTCTACATCGTCTGCCTATTAAACCGCTCATCAATGGCAAATCCAGCATCTGTGCTCCTGTGGTTTTGCTCAAGAGCATGCTCTGTCTTTCCCATCACCGCCTGCAATGCTACGAGCAGGTGTGCTGCACACATTCCTATCACCTTTATCACCCCTGTTATAATAAACAAAGCACAAAGCTACTCAAACAAAGCAGCTGTGTTTTCCAAAAAAACAAACTGCCTTGGAACATTCTATTGTGTGCTTAATGAAAGCCAAAGGGATGGTATAGCCAGGTAGCAGAAAGGAAAAAAAAAAACCAAACAAACCTATCAGGTGACTCACTCTGTGACTTAATTGTATTAGGGAAACAGTCAGCATTGAAAGAAAGTGTAACAGTGAAAGAGCCATACCCCAGCCCAGGGGCACTTACCAGAGCTGAGCTGCTATCACCGCGTTGCTTGCTTTAAAGGAAAAAACAGAGAAGTATGACATCTTAGAGAGCGTCAGCACCTTTACCAGGAGATGCCCGGAAAGACATGTCTGTGATCTCAGAGGAGCCTCAGCCCCAGGAGGCGACTCTTCACCTGACTACTTCTCCTTTCCAGAGGAAAGTGAATTGTTTTCCTCTGTGCCCAGCCCTCCAATTCCCTCAGGCAAGCTCACTGAGAGCGTGCCCAGGGCCAGGCGCTCTAGGATGCAGTGAGGAGAGACAGAGCCTTGACACACAGAGGCCTGTGAAAACAGCACAAGGTGTCCAAAGGCTGAAATCCTAGGATAAACCGTGCTGGGCTCAGGGCAGACACTTCCGCCAGGGGCAGGGGTGTGCTGGGGACATGCAGAGAAGGAGAGCTTATTTACCTAGACTCCACTTTGTTTGGAAAAGTATAGAAAATCATTCTAAATCATTCTAATCATTCTAAACAAAGATGCCAGAACTCTGGCTGGAAAGGATGTCAGTAAAATAAAGGAGAAAAAGAGGATATAGACCAGGAAGAAAGTGAAAGAGAATCACAGAATCTGGAGTCTGGAAGAGCTCTGAAGCCACCTCATAGGCCAAGCCAGAGGATGCCTGCTCCCCTCTGGGACAGTCACAGCAAGGGGTCTTTCTAGAAAGGCTAAGGGGGGCAAGCACCCTAGGCCTGTCTAAATTCAAGGGCAAGGTGTGTCTGAGCTGCTGAGTCAAGTAAGTACAAGTTCCGGAACTGCTCTCATGCAGCCAGAATTCTGGTTGTCATGAGTCCCCCACTGAAACTGCAAGATGGAAGAGAGAAGGGACTGTTTTTCTCTCTAAGACACAGTATCGTCTTCCACAGGCAAGAAATGTTTACCTATGATATTCCTGAGGTCCCAGGTCCAAGAGCAGCAAAGAGGCACAAGAAAAGAAATGTGGAAAAGGAGCAGAATAAACACATCCAATGGGGAAAGACTAAAGCCAGCAGGATGGCAGAAGCGGACTGATTCCCATTAAGAGAATCCCACTGGGCTTTTTCAAAAGCTTCGGGCTGACAGAGCAGAACAGTACAAAGTTCTTCCAAAACTATTTTACCAAGTTGCATGGGCCTCGACCAACCAAACCATAATGTAAGATTCCAAGGCAGAATGAAAAAACACACCACCTTTGAAGGTCGAATGTCTCCGGGATGGGTAGCGCTTGCTAGGCTTCCTCTCGAAGGTGCTGGTTCTTCTTAACCTGGAGCCGTGGGTCGCCTGATACTCTGTCCGCCCACTGGAAAGCAAATATTTTACTGCATATTAGCAATATCAGGCTATCAGCACCTTATGTATACCCGGAAGTGAACTTTTATTTCCAAGAGCTCCAATGTAAATTTCAACCTATCTTGAACTTGTTTGGTAGAGACACACTTACACTTAGCCTCCTGTTTGGAAATAAAAAACCACCTTTGCCAAATCCAGGTTGTATGATAGGGGCAGGTATTTCCACTTAGGGACAAAACCTGCAATTTTGGTACCAGCCCCCGGCTGCACAAACCCAGCAGGGCGGAGTACTTGGAACATTTGAGTAAAAGAACATTGATCTGCATGCACATAAAATAACCTTTCATAAACACATTACATAGACATTTAACTCTTAAAAAAAAGCCTGTTATCCAAAAAAAAAAAAAAAAAAAAAAAAGGGCTGTTATCAATGACCACTCAACTAACCTTGAATTTCCTTGCTAAACCAAGGAAAGTGTTACTTCTTCCACCAAGGTTTTCCTAGTTTTAACCAGGAGGCACCTTATATTGGTCTCAGCTATCACCACCTCATTTGTTCAAACTCTTGATTTATGAGTTCTTCAAAGCAAAGGAGCCACGTGTCACCCACTCTGTGATACCCAGGGGTCAAGTCATCTCCAAACTCCCCTTCCTTTCTACCTTCCCAGAGAGCCCATGTGGGGTCTTTCCCCAGGACAGGAAAGGCTGCCTCAGCCTCTCCCCATAGTCCGCCCCCCTCACTTCGACGGGAGCAGATGTCGGCAACGTTTCTGCTCGTCTTGTTTCTGCTCGTCTTTGCAGTTCTGACACTGAGTTGATTCTTTCTCCGAAAGGACCTGATCCCCACTACCCATTATTTTTTTTAACGTTAAAAATGTAAAAAATACATTTAAACGAAATCATTCTTTCAACACAAGTGCACAGACATTCTCCTGTCAGGAGATAAATCTGAAATGAGCACATCTTTTGGCATTTTAAACAGGGTTCAAGGACATGCTATGTGTGGGCAGAAGTTATGAAACCATGTGAAGTTTTTGATCTTGGTAACAGCAATTCTCCGCCCTGTGAGTGAGTGCACTTTAGAAATCAACCCCAGGAGAGCATGTGAAATGCACATTCTCAGGCAGTCACTCACACATGCATACATGAGCACCCACAAATTTGGATTACAAAGCTTTTAGATGAGGTCATAGACCCTCGTTTTGTTTAACAAGCAGCCGGGGGTGGGGTGGGGGGGAGGTCTCATAAACTTTGAGAGACATGAGTGCAGGATCCTAATTAAAAACAGGTTAGAATAAATTCTGGTCTTTTCAGCTTCAACTATTTGCTTAGTCAACCCTGGGTCACAGACACACATAGATAGCTGCTCTCATCCTTAATTGTCACCAGAGCTGTGGACGCTGGCTTGTGCAAAGCAACAGGGCCGTGGTTAGCCTGGGGCGGCTTGGCTCCATCATTACTGTCTGTAATGGGGGCACTTGACCTAACTCCCTGGTCTTAGTTTCCTTATCTGTAAAATGGGCCATTTAGCTTGTATGGTTACTGGGAGGACTGATTACAGGTTAGAAGTTCTAGTTGGTGTGGTGTGGTTTACAGCTGCCTGCATGGTGCCCAGCACCCTGTCTCTGCACTGTCCCACACAGTAGTCAGATCCTCACCTGCCCCAAGCCCTCGACACATGGTGAGTGAGACTGAGGAACTACTTTCTAAGCATACTTGTTATTAAACTAAAAAGGCACCGAAGGCTGTCGTCTACTGTGTTCGCATAACTCCAGGTAAACGCAGCTACTATTACATTTCTCATTATTAGTTCCATTTTATCAATGAGGATACAGAGGCTGAAGGGCTGATTCAACTCTTAGTCAGACCTTAAGAATGAACAGGAGCCTGATGAACAACTCAAGTCTCTGCGTGCAGATCTAACGCTCCATTCACCGTAACGTTCCCTCCTGCTCTTCTCAGAAACACACCGTTGCTTCAAAACAGGAAGCTTACCTGAATCTGAAGCGAGACCCCAAGCGGATGAAGTCTGATCTGTTGGATTTGCTGTTTCCCGGTGTGCGCAGTCGGAAGAAGGAGTGGTGTTCCACCGCACATTTCCAGAGGTGCTTGCAGGTCCTGGCACTGTCTAACCGGAACACAAACGTGTGCTCCTGCTCACGCCCCTGTAGGTGAAGCACAGGGCTCTCGTTCAAATGGGTGTTGCGACCTGCAGGAAGGATACGCACAGACAGTGGACAAACAGGTGCCAGCCCTACCTGATCATCATCCTCCACCACCACGAGTGTCAATTTGCTTTTTTTAAAATCCATTTTGGTAATTTTAGGCCTGGGCAGAGAGAAAACATTTCAAAAGTACAATCTGCAGCAAAACTATCTCCACACCAAACAGAATTTTCCTTTCTACGTTTTAAGTGCAGGTTTGCTAAAGAAACCATCCATTTAAGTGTAATTATCCAGAAGTTTCACTGCCATTGTCAAACACCCACCAACACAGCAGTGCGGTATCTTTACCACACTTCTGGGTGTTGCAAATATCCCTCAATAATCATTCAGCACATATAATTCCACCACAAAATAGGAAAAGACAGTTTTAATATTAGACAAAACTAAATTACCAAAAGAATAAGCCTATTTTGTTAGCTCCTTCAAAGATTAATATGCCTGTCGGGGTCAGTCCAAGAGAATATTCACAGCCATCTCTTCCCTACAAACAAACGAAGTGACAGTCGGTAGAGGTTCTAACAGGTGTCACAATGCAAAACAGTTTCCTCACCACGTTACTTTGTTCACACACTGCTCACACATTTTCTCAGTCACAGCAAAACCCAAGCACTAAGGTACACGCAGCGCTTACCCTGACAACGTGCATGTGTACCCCATACAGTTCCAGCCACTTCGCTTTATTCAGATAGGAGAGTTCCGCCTGGGCAGGGCTCTTTCCCCTTAAAAAACCAACGGAAATACAGGTAAACTGCAACCCGCACGCCGTGGACTCCTGATGGCTGGCCACATCACAATGGCAGGCAGCCATGGACAAGTGAGGGACGCCGACTCCCATTAACATGAAAAGATGCCAGGAAAAGTCCGCGAGGGGTTGAACAGAGCAGGGCTTCTCATGTGGACATTTAAGGAAACGGCTGTTTTGTGTGTGTGTGTGTGTGTGTGTGTGTGTGTGTGTGTGCGTGTGCGCCTGATAAACATATGCAAAGGTGAAAGGCTGGCCGGCTAAGTCCCAAAGGCCAACAGTGGCTTCTGCAGGGAGGAGGGCGGAGGGTGTCTGTGGAAGCCACGCTGTCTCTGAGTCCAGGAGTGACTTGGGCAGGTAGTGTAAGGTGAAGAGGGCCGGGGAGTTAGGAGAGGGGGCACTGGTTCAGGCACTGATTGTTGGACCCACCAACTTCAGGGAAGAGGGAAACCAGGCGAAAAAGGACAGGGCAGGAGTTAGGCGTAGTGACCTCATGCCTGAAGTCTAACGTTGAATATACTGCACATAGTCTCAGATGTGACTGTCTCTAAGAGACAAGTTTTGGATTTCTAAAGGATTTGCTTTAGGAGATTCAGGGCATGAACAGAGACACAGCTGTGCGGGAAGGCATGAAGGCAGCCTTGTGGCTTTCCCTGCGCTGCCAGGACAGCAGTGGTGTCCACGGAGCAATGGGGCACATCAGGACCAGAGTTGGTAAAGCAGAGAGAGAAACGGAGTGCTCTTACTGGACATCTTGGGAAGGAGAGAAGTCACATGAGAATTGGGAAAAATAGGACTGAAGCGGGAGAGAAGAGTTGGAGCAGCCATTCCACAGTCATCAGCAGAGCAATTCTACCACAGATAAAATCTGACAAATGCTTACACAGTACAGAGTAAATTCATCAGGGCGCAAGAGGGGAGCATCACGGTACCTGCACTCTTTCCATCTCTGGAAGATATCAAATTCCATTGCTTCTGTCTGATTTGGAATGAACCGAAACTCAGACACAAGCTCTGGCGTGTGTTCCGGAAGCTCGCACTCCCCAAGCTCCGCTGAAAGTTTCATAAAAGGAAGGAAAACAGGAGACATGGAATGTTTTCGGTTATTGCTGCAGCCAGGTCCAAAGGCATTTTGCATGATCATAAAGCATAGGTAGCCCCTGATGGATAACTCAGGAGGACTGATCTCCCACTAGGTCCCCACGTGAAGACTCAGATCCCCACAAAGCATTCAAATGCCCTCCCCATGGGGCAATACACCACCATCTTAGTTATTACTCTTGTTTCTCCTGAAAATTTCTCCTACCGGGGGAGGTCCCATTACTTCATCCCCTGTGAAGTGGTACAGCCTGAATTTGCAATAAAAGGCAATTGCATGGAATGAGGACCTGCCCAGAAACATCATTAACGAGGCTCTCATTAAGGGTGGGTCTGAGCAGCACTTCAGAGTCTGCAATGCTGGAGGGACCCATGGAGAATATAGTACAGGCAGAATTCGGGGGAAACGTGTTGGGAAGGAGACAGAAAAAGCAAGGGGTCCAGGAGGAAGAGGGAGGGCACCGTAGGAACAAGGGTGACAACTCAGACAGGCCTGGGAGGGAGTCAGTGGTGCGAAGGGGGGTTGCCACGTGGGGAGCCCAGGAAGGTCCTGGAGGGAATACCCACCCCAGGGCTAGTTAACCCCCTCAAGAAAGGAGGACCTGATAACACAGATGAGAAAATCCACTCTTGCTGCTCCCCAATCCGCCCCCCACTCCTCGCCTGCAGCCCAGGGCACAGACTCCAGAAGGAAAAGCCATGCTCTAACACAGGCACACTTCCGAGACACTCTGGATCTGGCTCCAGAACACGGCAGTCAAGCGAGTCATGCCACGTTTTTGTTTCCCCAGTGCAGGTAAAAGTCATGTATATCTTATACTGTAATCTATTAAGTGTGTACCAGCATTATGTCTACTTGAAAAAATAAAACACTGCACTTAATTAAAAAATATTTTGTTGCGCCCAAATGCCCAAAAGATGTGGCACATATACACAATGGAGTATTACTCAGCAATCAAAAAAAAATAAACACATGGCTTTTGCTGCAACATGGATGAAGCAGGAAAAGATCATGCTTAATGAAAGGAAAGGAAAAATACCGATGGTTTCACTCATAGCAGGAAAAAAAAGGGGCCAAGGGAGAAAATAATAATAATAATGAACAGCTATATACCAGACATTTTAAGGGGGTGGAGTGAGGAATGGGATCAAAACAGTGGGGGGAGGGAAATGTACTGGACTATGGTGATGGCACATGGGTGACTTGGTGATGGGAAGCCCATGGGGATTGCAACTGAGATGGAAAAAGGCACAAAATGATGTAAAAATAAACTATTATATTATTTTTAAAAAATGCTAACCAAAATTAGAGCCTTCAGTGACCTGTAGTCTTTTTGCTGGTGTAAAAACACAGTAGTCCATGAAGTGCCTCTAACCGGGTACGCCTGCACTGGTTACACGAAGCGGACTCTACCACCCACCACATCAGCCTCACTTTCTCACAAATCTCAGGCCCAGCTACCCGCCTTTCCATAAGATGCCTGGTGACTGGTGCACACTTCACGTTGAGAAACATTGTGGCTTTGAACATGAGAGTGTCTTGGAATCACCCAAAAGGCTCATTATAATGCTCATGAGTGGATACCACTCCCAGAATTGATTCCATACTGAATCAGGTGTGATTCTGCCATTCTAACAAGTTTCTAAGTGACAATGGTGTGGGTGACCCAGGGAACACACAGTGAAAACACTACTTGGCAGACAGATCCCACAGACTAACCAGCCAGCACCTGCCTGCCCACCTGCTGTCACTCCGCACCCCTTTCTATCCCCCACACTGGCCTGCAAGGGGCAACTGAGTCCAGATCCAGGGAGGGCCACCCGGGGCTGCAGAGCACGCATTGCAACAAAGCTTAGCGGCAGCAGGACCTGAGAGACCGTGTCTGAGGCAAGCAGACAGCTGCTGAAGGTTTCTGACTGGAGCCCGCACCTACAACTCTGAAGCAAAGGGCTCCTTAGGGTCGTCTGGGTCAGGGTGCGCAGTGGCTTGGGACCTTAGGCAGAGTCACACATGTTAGACTCTGCTTGGGAAATATGTATCCAGAGAAGGTGAAGGTTGGACCCCAATGACAGGGAGGCCCCTCTCACCAGGAGCTAGAGAGCCAACAAGGTCACAGAGACCAGAGCGTAGTGTGTGTGTGGACTCCACCCCTAACACCACCATCCTAATGTCACCAAGCACAGGATGGGGACCTCAGACACTGCCAAGCTGTCCCTGCTGGGCTCACGCCGTGCCTCTTCACCATGGTGACTAAAGTAGGCCCGAGCGAGGTCTGGCACACCTGTTCTGAGGCGTGGGCCTGCCTTCCAAGAACCTCTTAGCAAGACCCGACACTTCACCCAGTCTCCAGACTCTGCAGCCAGGGTCCCGGCCATGGAAGGCACTGGAGCAACTCTGTCACATATTGTCTGTGTGACCTTGGGAAAGTCACCCGACTGCTCTGCCTCTTGGATGTCTTACCCTAATGGGGAACTGTATGAGGGTAAAAGCGCATAGAATAAATGACGAGTCTCCTCCCCGATTTATCTGTTTGCCTAGATTCATTTTGAAATCTATCATCAATTTAGATCCCAAACCAGCGCAACCTCCACACTGGCAGGGCCAGTGCAGGCGCCATTCACTCCAGGACCCTCACGGCGACATGCCCTCAAGGCTTCAGCACAGCTGTGCTGTGCCTCTGTACAGCCTGAGACAGTTGGCTCTGCTGTGGCTGAATGGGGAAGTAGAGTACACGTTTACTGATGGGAAGGAGAGTGGGTGTGGGGGAGACAGGCGAACGAGATCACAAGAATGTCCGCATTTGTGTGTCTAAATCTTTATTCTTTTTATTTGTGGCATAATGACTTCATCTTAAATTGCAGAAATGTGTTTCCAACTCAAATGCGTAATTCCCCAAGCAGGGCCCCTGGACAGCTGAGGACATTCCCGTCTGTCTCGGCTCTGGGGCAATGCCTACGCTTCCACCAGAGGCTCGGACTTTGAGTGTGGTGAGCTTTACCCCACAGGGTGGGGGTGACAAGACAGATTTACAGGTTTGATATGCTAATCATTCAGGACAGGTAAAAGCTGCGTATTTTGCCAACAGCCTTGGGAAGAAACCTCTGTGTGGACTGATGACCTCAGGTACGACACAGACTCCCCTGTCCCATTATCCACATCCTGACATTCTGACATCTGCTGGGCTCCGGGTCTGATGGTTTGACCTCCTCCTGGCAATCCCTACACTGTAGAGTGGATGCTACTGGGTGAGCAGGTGACAGCTCTACCTGTTGAAAGGAGAGTCCATTTCCATCCACAGCCTAATGGCTCTGGCCATAAGGACTGTCACTGTAGCAGAAAATATGCCTGTGAGGCACTCAGCACTGGGCTTGGCACAGATGGTCCAGATGACAAGAGCATCATCTCTACCACGTGTGCCCTCAGGCCTCACAGGTGGGGTCCCCCTTCAAGCAGCCCTCAGGGGGCCTCTCTGACATCACTCATTCACTCTGTACTTACTGAACCCCAATAGAGGACATAAATGAAAAAGTCATAAAGGAAGTGTCTCGTCATGGGAGTGTCCTGCAGTCATTAAAAATTATCTCTGTGCTAAAAACATCCATAAAAAAAAACCAAGAAATAATTCTAGAAACCGTCTATGTCCCCTCAGAAGTTCTACTTAAAATTCAGATACCAGAGAGGAATCTGGAGAGAAGACCGAAGAAGGAAGCAAGATGGAGAGCCAGAAGGAGACCTGAGGAAGCCACAGGAGCAGAAAGAAACATGTGAAGAAACCATGCTTATTTCTTGGTCCTGGACTGGTTGAAACAGAAGTGGGTGAGAGACCTGTGTGGAGGAGGTTGACTATGGCAACTTTTGCTCTTTTCCTCCCAGACTTGGCGACTTTTGCTCTTTTCCTCCCAGACTTGTGTGGCGATGTCTGACCCTTTTCTATGGGTCCCAGCCAGAATGTGCTTTAGGCTTGTGGAGGGCTTTCAGGCCTTGCTTTGGGCCAATCCCCTTTTACCCACGAGGGGATGGGTAACTTTGGGTTTTTGATTTAGAAACTATATTCTTTGTCTTTTCTGTATTGCACACTCATTGTATTAAAGTTTCTTTCCATTAAAAAAAAAATTCAGAAACCAGTTGCTCTAGGACAGGGGGTCATTTCCTTCTATCTACCTGTCTCATTTTGTGTTGCTGACCTGACCTGACCTTCTATAATGGAATTTATTTCACAATTTGAAAAAACATATATAATTTTTAAAAACTGGCCAACCCAAAAGTGGGAAGTTAAATCTTAAAGTAAGAAGAATAATGAGCCCTGACGAATGACTACATCATCACTCGTCCCCCACTGGAGTCAGTGAGCGCTGGACAACACGTCCATGCTGTTTCTGAGGCACCGTGACGTCCCTGAATATCAGCATCCTCTTACTCAGCGCTGGAGATTTCAGCAAATGTTCCCTGTGCGTTTGCAACCGAAATCCATCAGAGCCTCAGATGGAAGAGCCAAGGCCGAGAGTCATCAGACAAGCCTGACCAGGCAGGTGACTCCTGCCAAGCGCTCCTGGCCAGGCTTCTCCACTGGAGACATTTGTGTGCTGACACAGCTGCTGGAGGTCCCACGGGCACCTCGCAGCCAAGAAGCCCTCGCCGACCTGCCGCGGGCCAATGCCACCCCCTCCTGCCACTGCCTCTTTCTCTGGAGTGGGGAGACGTGGTGCTTTGCCCCTGCCCTTTAGCAATACCTCCTCATGGCAGCCCCCTCCCTCAGTCCCAGGCTTGCCCAGCTTCTTCTCAGCACCTGGGCCTTTCTCAAACGTACATCCGATGGGCCGGCTGCCTCTTAGGAAACTTCAAAGGAGCCAGTGCAGACAGTTTTTGAGCTTCTGCAGAGTCCAAGGTCCCACTCCCATCTAGCTTCCTGGCCTTCACTCTCCCGCACTGTGTAACCTCCGGCTCCTCTCTGCACTTTGCTGCCCTGCGCTGGTTCCCTTGTTCCTCTTCATAGACTCATCCCCACCTCGCACCTCCTGCCAGCCTCTGTCCCAAGGGAGCGACACTGGACTCTGTGGGCTTGCCTTCCTCTCAGGGTTGCGAGCTACTTAGGGATGGAGACCACGGTATCTCCACTTATACCCCAAAGTACAGCACTGTTCCTGGGATACACAGACACTCATTTGTGGAAATGGAAGCAGTAACATTAAAATGCTAATTACCACTAAAGAATAATGTACCTTGTAGACAGAGAGCAGCTAATTCCACAGCTGTTTCATAGGGGCATTTCAATCTTGAAAGAAAAGAGATTAATTGTAAATATGAACTTTAATACTCATAACTTCACAAAATGTCATACATCATTTTTCAAAAGGTAGTGATATTTAGATAGTGATTTTTGTTCTTGGTGGTTTCTGTTTTTTGCTGTCACGTGAAAGAATGCAAACGAGTTGACTTACACTACATATTTCCCAAAGTCACTTCTCATCATATGGTAAAATAACCCAGGTATAGTTTAGATCAACCCTGTGAGCGATTATACTGAATTTGGCAAGCCTGGGCGTGTTTGGGAAATAGAATGAAAGCCTCCTCTTTGCTTAATTATTTTTAGACTTATTTTATCTTGAAATAGCATGTGCATCTTTCCAAGCTGTCTTAAATCTTTCTCAAAACCAGGTCACAGTGTTAAAAATAAACAGACACAATACTTATATTGCCAGGACAGCTGCACAGTCAAGCATCCTAATAAGTGTAACCGAGACAAAGTCACAGAGGTGTATTACTACAAATCCAGGGATCACGTTCAGACTTCTATATTACAAGCAAAGTTAGAAAAATACTAATGACAAACATAGGTACAGCACTTCATAGCTTCCAGAGTCTTTTCAGCTATATTGTCACACATACATATATTTTACGTATATATTTGGCCGTCCCCCACAATGCATGTGGCTGGTGCTCTCCCACCCCCCATTTCAGAGACGAAGGACTGAGTGTCAAAGTATCCAGCCCAATATCATCAAGCTGGTAGGAGGAGGCACTCAGACCAGAGCACCATTCTGCTTTGAAAGGCAGTGACTCTGGTTGAAGAGTCAACACACTGTAAAGTACTGTACAAATGCACATTGTTGTCATTACTATTTTTCCAAACTGAAGACAATTATTAGGTTTAAGAGGGCTTTAGTATGAGTAGCACAGTATGGAGAGAGTGATAAACACACACACACACACACACACACTCATAATACACACACCAATCAACGGTCTGTATTGCATGGTGGAATAAGGCAAATGTATACACTGTACAATCTACTGGTTTTATGGTGTACGCCCCACTAACATTTTCACAGCACAAATTCTACTGAGAGTTTTCAAATTCACAAATCACATTTTAAATTTCCTTCAGATTATATTCAAAATCAAAATATATTCTTGTCCCTAATATCTGATATTGTTTTTTAGACTCAGTATAGTCTTAGTTTTTCATGTAAGAGAAAATATCCAATACACAGTTAGGAAAATGTTACAATTGTTATTACTGCTGAAATCTCTTATCTTTAAAGTAAACACTGCACTCAAAATCAACCACTTCTGTGCCAATGTTTCTCCTGTTCCACAATCATTGTGTAGTCTGAGACCTAGTATTTTAAAAGCATTTTTAAGGGGGGACAGGGGAAGGAAATGAGATGAGATGTCTAAACCTCTTTCTATCAGAATCAGAATGCGCCCTCTTTACAATGCTACTTAAATGCAGATGGGGATGAATGAAGCTTTTTGACTACCCACATACTTGTAAGTGTATACATACTAATAAAGTATCTTGCTTGCAAATACGACAAAAGCCATTATGAATGGGGCAGTGATGTGATCAGGGAGAGAATTATCCCTAAATACACATCACTTAAGATTATTAAATGCTCCTGGAAATGCTTCAAGCCATAGAGTAATTATTTAAAATAAGATGATGATGACAGTGATACAAGTATTAGACTCACTTTACAATGCCTGTTGTACTTTTTTTGAATTTTGAAAAGGGAACAAGGGTAGGAGAGTTAAAAACAAAATGAAAACAGTGAATTATTTAGAAAGATACTATGATCTATTCTGGGTTAGGAGTTATAACAAAACATACTTACTTTCCTGAAAGAATGTCATGCCTGAGTTGTAAAACAAACAGGTACCTGACAAACATATACAAAAGTCAACAGAGGATCATTTTTCCTGGCCACTTCCAATCTCCCAAGTCCCATCACAGAGCCCACCCGCACAGCCGACTAGAATTCTGCATTGTAAGAAGGGAGTCCAGATCCAATGAGAACTTGGTGGAAGCATCTCTTCCTGAGTCTCCAGGAAGGATTCCAGAACCTCGCTAGGAAGGTGAGTGTGTGCAGGGGATGTGCAGGATACTGGGGTGGAACAGGGAACTCATCTCCCACCCCCTCAAAGGGCCAATCACGGCACACAGGCAAGCACATGTCCAATCAAACTGGCAGGGTGGAGACCGGCTCTGGCCTCTGGCCAGTCCCACCAGCAGATTCCAGAAAGGCTGCAGTTGATTGTATTGAAATGTTTACAGCAGGCTGTAGTTAGCAACTGCTTGAGGCTTTTTTTTTTTTTTTTAATCTAGTTTACCTGCAGACTCTGCCGTTTAAAAACCAAACTGCACCCACATACAAACACACAAGAAACAAAAATCCTGGAATTGGAACTGCATCTCCTTACAGGGTAGTAAAGAGGGTGGGGAAGCAGCAAATAACACAAATGGGGAGGAGGGGGGCTTCATGTAAGTAAAAAAAAATTAAGTGTTCTGGCTAAAATAATGGTCTTTTACGAGGAGGTTATGGGGCACCCGGATCACTTTAAGTGCTCTTTACAAACCAAAGCTGCCCTCACCTCACTTCACAGCTACAGAATCAGAATCTGACGTGCAAGAGTGGGCCTCAGGAATCTGATTTGTTTAAAAGTTTCCCAGGTGTTTTTGACTCACACCACTGTTAAGAGTTACTGACTCTGAAGGCAGCTAGAAGCAGCATGTTCATAAAGGACTCTGAAGAGGAACAGTGGAATAATTTACTTGAACTTTCAAAACAATGTATATAATCACATTGTGAAATGAATACAGGAGAATGTTGGTGACCCAGAAATCAAATGCGGGTGGGAAGAGCTAAAGGTTCTAGTATATGCCAGAATGCTCCTGACAGGTGCTTACACACCGCTGAAATCTACCCAGGAAAGCAGGAAAGCATCTGTGTACTCACACCAAAGAGAGCACAGTGCTGACATGCCCCTTCCAAGCCCTCCAGGAAAGGACCCACAGGACTCAGCAAGTGGGGAAATGGGGACAGGCAGTCAGTCTCTAGGTTATTTGCTGGCCATCTCCAAGCTAGTGGCCACTACCAAGAACCTGCATGTTACTAACCACTACTGTCCATCACAGGTCCCAGGAGGCATCTAGAGCATCAAAAACAGCAGTGGGACAGGTGGAGAATCTCACTGATGGGAAAGCTGGAGGAAAACTCCAAGCTTAAAGATTACTTAAGTCTCCTCTGCTTCTAACATTGTTTCTGAAGTCTCAGAGGTAGACCTGGATAGGCACACCAGGAAAGAAATTCAGTGGGGTTGAAAGGTAACATGAAGGAATTCTACCAATCATGGGAACAGGTTGCTATCCCTTTAAAAAAATGTTTTCAAAGATGGCAATTTTAAACCAGGAGCTCTCACCTAGTACCTGACTTCGCTCTTTGCAGCTGGGGCAAAACAAATGCCCAGAGCAACTGACCAATTTATCCAAGGCCCGCCAAGATAAAAACCAGGAACTGAATCTTCTCACTTCTAGACACTCAGAGAAGGTCACATTAAACAATGTGTGGCTTTTCAACAAAACAGAGAGCTAGCACTAATAGGGTGCTAATAACTCAGAAATGTGACAAATCTGTAACTGAGCAGACCCTGCATTTGTCTTACCTTGTAAACTCTTCACGCAGGTTGTTCGGTTCTGAAGAATAATATTTAACTCGAAAGTGCAAAGCATAAGCAGGTCCAACTAAATATTTAGCGTTGGAAGGTTGAAGAGGTTTTCCCCCAGTTTTGAAGATCACGGAATGGACAAAAGGAAAAACATGTTAATCTATAAACTCGTTCACCACCACCCTGGAGACACTGAACTCGTAATTCCCTTTCAGTTCTAGTTTGGCAAACAGAAAAGCCGGCTTTTGTGTCGGCAGAGATGACGTGGCTCGTAACCTCATTCTGGGAGAAATCCCTGATGATCCGGATGAATTACTTAGCGCTGACATTTTGCTTTCCCATGATTGCAGGCTCCAGGCTGATATGGACATTTTACAAAATACTATGTGGGCTAGCGGGAACGGACATACAAACAGCACTGTCTGTAGTCCAAAGTGACCTTCAAATATTTTCCAGAGAAGAAAACATTGTAAACAACCTTTGCACAAACCACACCAAGGGAAGATGGCTCCCACCAGAGCTCGGGACCAGGCTGTCGAAGACCCCTCCTGCTCCCCCATTCTCCAAATCTACCTTGTAACTCATCAGAAAGTGGATGCAACAGGTATGAACCCAAGTTTCTCAATAGCAGCTTAATCTATTAATCTCACTGGTAGGGGTGCCCCGTTTGCAATGAGAGCACAGTCTATTTTTTAAATATCTACTAAAACTCTTACTCACATTTTAAACTCTAACTTTTGGCCAGCCTTAACAAATTAAAAAGCATCCACTTAAAATGGGATCTATTTTTAAGTGCTCCCAAGTTCTAATGAAATCCTAACACTTGAAAACATTGGCAAAAGAGGTTACTCTCTGGTAAAAGAATTGAGGAGGGGTTCGGCTTACTTACTTTTCATCTGTTTTTTAATGGGTTTGGCATGATCCAGCCAGTGCTAAAAGAAAGAAAACGTGTCTTGAGAAACAGTTCGTCAGCAAGACTAAACATCCCCCCACAGTCATCTCCCAACACAAGTCTTAGTAGTTCTTCCCACCAACCCAGCATCGGACCAGATCACGAGCTCCGGGCTAGGCATCTGCTTGCTGTTTGGAATGGCATGAGAAAATCTGTACTTAAAAAAATTAAAAACTGCATTTGTTTTGGGGAGAGGGCCCACAATTCCCACCAGCTTTCTGGAGGTATCTGAAAGAACTTTAAACCTTTTAACTCCTTGATCGGTGAGCTCCCCTGTGGTCAGTGCAGTCACCAACTGCCTTTTGCTCTGAGCTCCTCCAGGTCTCCCAGTGATGTCTCTAATCACTCATGGACTGTCTCCCTAAACTCTAACATAAAACCAAACTTTGTAACCTCTTTATTCTGTTGCCAGGAAAATGGCCACACTGAAAATGGAAGTCTTTTGCCTAAGAAATTTTTGCTTTGGTTAAAGCAGGCATTTCCACTTCTTCCAGAATTCTGTCACCAGAAAAATCACTTCAGTCTTATCCATCCAAGGAAGTCACAACATCTTTTTCCTTACATGAAAGTATCTCTATTATATATTATATTCCTGAGGAGCAGCTTAACATCCATCCACATTTAGGAATAAAACACTGTGAATCCCTCTAGGCAAACCTAAGTCCCAGCAAGGCAGGGACCATGTACTTAAGCATCTCTGGGTTTAGCAAGCCCGGGACCGAACAGGGCGCCCAGCAGGTTTGAGAAATAAATATTAAAGACTTTTTTTTAATGAGGCACACAGCAACTTTGCCCGAAATTCTACATGGTTGCAATACACACTGAATTTCAGTGTCACAGTAACAACTGGAATAACAGAATAACAGCCAGAATGGGCTTCTGACCAGCTATTCAGAGTCAGAGGCCATTCTGCTGACTGTCAATATACTCTCAGAAGCAACCTAAACTCTGTGCATTGTGATAACAAGAGAGGGTGGGACTGAGTCCCTCCATGTACTCTACACGCCACCCAAGAGCCCACTGTGACAGTGTAGGAGGAGAGGGATAAGGAAACAAAAAGCAAATAGCGGATGAATTATAACACAATAAGCTATGAGCAGAGTGATGGGGGAACTGGGCAAACACTCCTGGCTAGGCAACCATGTAATAAAAGCGGCAGATCCCTGAAGCAGGATGTGGATTTCAAAGGACATGCACAGGATGCTTTATCTCATTGTTAATAGCTTTATATTGGAAATGACCTAAATGTCCATCAACAAAGACAGAAGGAAAAAAATGGCTCATCCATATAATGAAATACTATTCAGTCTTTAAAAGTGATCTAGGCTTCTATTTATTGATGTGGCAAGAGATCTGTAGCACAATGTTAGATTAAAAAAAGAAAAACAGGTAGAATCTTCATTTATATGAAATTGTTTTCTATCAAGATGTGTCCAGAAGGATTTATAGAAGTTATTTCTGGGTGTAGACCTATGAATGTCATTTAATTTTTTAAAAACTTTTCTGCATTATTTTTTTATTTTTAATGAGCATTATTTTCATGGATGAGGGCAGGGTTGTCATTTCTATTACATAACTCATTTATCATTTGCCTATCAGGCCGTTATTAATGATTAGTGTGCCTCATTAGAATTAAATATCACTGCAGCTCTCAACCAAGCTAAAGCCCCCTTCCCGCTCCCCCGACGACCTTAGCTCTCAGGACAGATGCAGACTGATAAAAGCATAGTACTCACTTTCCTGCCAAAGCAAAGTATTATGCCAATCGCTATGACTAAACCCGTCTTTGCTCACTTTCAAATAGATTCACCATTACCAGGCAAAGAAAGTTCTCCCTGCAGCCAGCCTTTTCTAATCTTATTAGCCCTAGAGGCTTAGAGCTTAGAGGAGCTTGTCCATTGCTCCCCTTCCTCAAGTCTCCTTACATTTAGACTAGAAGTTTAAGCCCACCTTCCCACTGTCAACCCTAATCCTAACCCAGGTCCAGCTGGTGTGTGCAGCTATGGTTTCTGATCCTGACTGTGCAATGCAATCAGGATCATCCAAGGCTCGTGAAACAGCATCTCAACACGTGAGTGTTGTTTAAAGCCTGCCTCCATTAAACACATATTGCTGAAGCTTTCCACGTTCTCTCCTGCCCAGGAACCTGGCCTAATGATCCCAGGGAGCTGGAAACATCCATGGTTCCTTGTAAAAACTGCTGTTAGACCTCTATAAAATCTCAAGCAATTCCAGACTTTACTGGCCAATCTATGGCTGGGGCTAACTCCAGATCGTGGCCAGACACTCGCACTGGACAGCAGACTGCTTTTCCCTGAGGCAACACTGCCTCCCCCTCCTCCACCCCTGCACACTGGCCTCTGTCCTGAGCCCAAAGCAGAACCAGCCAGGATAAAGGCCTGTGAAGCATCTGGTCCTGGCTAAGAGGAGAAAGGACTCTGAAATGGCTCATTTTAAAGCTCCTTGACAACATGGGGCTCAGAGGCCTGCCTGCCTGCATCCCAGGCGATAAGAAACCCAATCATGACATTAAAACAAGAGATGAGAAAACCTATCATTTATCCACTGATTGAAAATGACCTGATTTTCTTCTTAGCTACAGGAGCTGACCAGACTCTGATGGCTGTATCTCCTCTTGTGAGACCACCCTGGGACTTGCAGACCCCAGCACTAAGGCCTAACACAGCATTTAGTGAGTCACATCCTGCACCCTGCTTAAAGGATTCAGCAGCTACTGGACCCAACCTCGCTGTTCATCAGCAACCTGGCTAAACACAGCCAGTCAATCCGGCTCTTCCTCTCAACAGCCAATGAAACTGGTCACTGGAGGCAGACAGGTGTATTTGAGTTCAGAGGGCAAGATACTTAACTCAAAAACTGTAATGGACATTAGAAAAGTGGTTTCTGATCTGAATTTCTTGTCCAAGCTCATCTGGAAAACCCTTCCCATAAATCAAGAGGTGAGATGATTTGGCAAGGCCCATCTGTTCTAATTGTACATCACTTCTGGAACTGATACACGTAAGCTGGTTGTAGAATTCAATTGTCTAAAATCCATTCAGAAACACTAGAACCACACAGCAAAGAGAGGCACAGGGGCTGAAGGGGCCTAAAGACTGCCCGAAGAAGCCCTGGGCCTCCCATCAAGTCTGGGTGGTGGAGATTAACCGGCTCCCCTGTTCCTGTGTGTTTTCTTGGTTTATGAGTAAGAGTCTAGTTTTCATTTAAATTAGAACTGGAAGACATCGACAGGGTAATTGTGTCCCCACCCCCCCAAAAAAAAATGAAAAGAGAAGGAAGGGAATGAAACCTTGGGAAGCTTACGACGTGTGACACTATGGTTTCTAATAAGAAATATGTGTTTAATTTTTGTCCCTTTCCTGGCAAAGAACCCCTAAAACCTTAAATTTCCTAAGTCATGAGGGCAGTACAGGTACCCTGGAATTTAGAGCCAACTCCTTTCAACCACACTGGATTTTATGTTAATGAGGTGACTTTGGAAAGCACTAAAGGGGTGGGGGGTGGTTGCCAGGAGGGGACCCAAGAAGTGATTAGAAAGAACTTCCAATTCCCCCTCCCCTTACTTGGAAGGAAGCTGGTGGGGGAGGGCTGGAGGTGGAAGCAATCACCAATGTCCATGATTTAATTAAACTGCATCTATGCGAGGAAACCACCATTCAAAGACAAAAGTACAGGGTTCTGAGAGCTCTCGGCCAGATGAACACATGGAGATTCAGGGAGACGACTCAGAGAGAACCCAGAAGCTCTGTGCTCCCCCAGCCACCCCCCACATACCCTGCCCTGTGCATCCCTTCTAACTGCTGTTCCTGAGTTGCATCCTTTTATAGTAAACTGGCGATCCAGTGAGGTAAACCTTCCTTTGCAGTCTACGATTCGCCCTGGCCTGTTAACCAAAGCCGGGAGATCCTGGGCCTCCCCATCTACAGGCAGTGGGTCTGAAGTACAGGGGCAGCCTGGACTTGTGACTGGCATCGGAAGCGAGGCAGGCAGTCTTGTAGGACTGAGTCCTTAGCCTGTGGGATTTGCCACTAACTCTAGGTAGAGAGTGTCTAAATTAATTGCTTGGGGGTGCTGGGAAAAAACATTTGGACAGTGTTGCAACTATCACTGTTTCAGGCCTCTGAGCAGGTGAACATCCGACTGTGGAGATGGCCCCACGAGGTACCCAGGACTAAGGTGCTGGCAAGAGGAAGAGGCGAAATTCACTCAGGCTGGTGTACGTGTCTGGTATTCCAGGTCTCCAGCCCCGCATTGGCTTAAGTAACCTTTTTGCCTCCAGGAGGGGGTCTCTGCTCTCATTCAAAATGAAGCTCTGGAAATGCATTTATTTCAGCTCCTTGAGATTCCCTTGGGGTTCCTCGATAGTAATGGCACAGAGCCTTTATCAGCTTCCCAAGCAGCACCAATATTTTCACACTGCCAGGAAAACACCTGCCCTCTCACTAACAACATTCAGAACTGGCCTGCAGGTCATCCTGCAGCATTTCCTGAGCCTTTTTGCGTGTCTTTACTAAAATGGAAGGAGGCAGAAAGTCAGCCTCTACACATCCCAGTCCTGCCGCTCTCCTGGGGTGTGGTCACGAGTCGGGCCCCCCTTCTGCACGTGGCTCCCTCATCTGTGTCTGAGTTGTCTGCAACCACTGTCTGAGGAATGACTGAGTCCACAGAAACCGGAATGAGCCATCCAAAGGGACGGAGGGTGGTTTTTAAAACTGTCCTTTTACAGTCAGGTATCTCACTGCTAGCTCTCTACTCCCCCTCCCGGTGTCTGCGAAGTGGTAAGGACACGCTGTAGCAGCTGTACAGGTGGCAAGTGGGATGGTATCGCCACCAATCATCACAGTGAGGCCGAGGGAGCTGCAATAGTGTCTGCAGTGTCCCCTGGGGCCCTTCCAGCAGCCACCAGAGCTGTGCCAATCTCTCTTTATACCGGGTTTCTTATCCCCCAGGTATCAGACAGAGCCTGTCCTGCAAAAATAGCTCATAAGTCTTGAGACAAAAACCAGAACTGCCTTTTCTATATTCCTTGCTGCAAAATAAGATACCACCATAAGATGCTGGCTTTTCCTGTTGGCAGTGACTCAGGAATCAGCTTATCTTGGCCGCACCCACCTCCAGAACACCTGCCCCAGGGAGAGGCGGAAGGCCCCTCTGAGGTGGGGCTGTGTGTTATTGCCCCTGTCCCAAATCCTTGTCACGCTTTTGCCTGGCAAATTTCTCTCACTGTCTGGGGTCCACACCCATGTTCCGCTTGGTAACCTGTTCATCTCATCCATGATACTTGGCGAGCCAGTCCTCATTGAGGCTCACAGTACAAAGGAACACACTTTCCCAAGGGATGGCTCATCTGTCGCCCCCACCAGCACGTGGCAGGCAGAAGTGGTGTCCTGCTCACTCCTGCACCATAGTTTGGGATCAAGGAAGCTCCAAGTCAAAGAAGAATAAATGGCTCTTGAGGGAAAGGTGTGTGTGTGTGCGTGTGCATGCTTGCCTGCGTGTGTGTATGACTACTGTGTATTGGAGCCCACAAAGCCCAGTGAAAATGCTGGGCTCGGAAATGAGAGCAGGTTCTGAATCCCAGCTCTGTCCTCACCCGACCCTTAAGGTCCCAGTGTCTCCATAGCCTCAGCTTGATCAGATGTAAAATGGATCTATTCAATGAACAGCTTCCACACATCAGTGATGAATGTAAAAGGAGCATTACATTGGGCCTTTAACCTCAGAGCTTGGCCCAGAGCTCACTAGAGCAGGAGCTCCGGGACTAGGCAGTAAGAAAGTTGGGTGGTTTAGGCCAGAGAGCCAGCTTTCAGAGGGCAGTCTGACATGTAAAAATAGAGCGTTAAGATACGTGACAGTGAGCTCTAGCACAGTGGATTCCTGGGTGGACTTCCTGCTTTGATATGGCAAAGGGAAACAGGAGGCCCCAGCCCTAACTGCTAAAAATAGGCAATGCCAATAGACTTTGACCTTGCTGCAGGGCTAGGCAGGGCACTATGGAAACCAGGCCTGGCTCCTCACAGGGAGCCAGGGGTGTGAGAGCAGGGGAGCTTGCCAACAGTTCCGCCACTTCCAGCTCTCTGATTTGCTAGCTGGGGGTGTCAATTTTTGCAGATGCCTCAATTATGGGGTAATAAGCCAATGGCCAAATGACCCCCCCTCTTCCTGACCCCACTTCTCCCTAGAAACACACCTCTCTTAACACCTAATACCCGCCACCAAACCTCCTTCCAGTTCCTTGGAAAAATCAATGCCACCCCAGAAGCTGGCTTAGCAAACCTCCCAGAGGGCTCTCGCCTAAAATGCTACAGTTACTCCTGCAGACAAGGATGCCTGGAAGGTTTCAGCTAACCTCAGCGCACTGCCACTAGAAGCTGGGATGGCTTCTGGTTCCCCCTTAGCCTTTCCAGCTAGGGGCCCACGCGGATTACAAAACAGTTTGTCTTCCACAACCTCCCTTAATCCCTCCACTCCTCTGTGAATAATACAGCCAGGGAACAGGAGGCTCAAGAGTCCAAGGCAGGAACGTGAGCATTAAGCCTGTCACCATCAAACCTGGTTGGAGTTGAGCTGATTGATTTGCCAGGGTCAAAGGCTTTGGTTTCACCAACTGGGAGATGGGAAAATTGGACAAATGGCTCTGAAGCTTCCTTCTGGGCTAGAGACCAAGTTCTAGGCTGTGGGCCTTGTCATCAAGAAGAGCCACCCAGTGAAGAAGAGGAAGTCCTAAGCTGAGGAGCTAATGCACAGGTTTGTTCATGTACATACATGAAATGGAGGCAAACGCTCTACCACACAAAGCAAAACAAGCTCAGAGAAACATTTCCCTAGACGAAAATGTGTTGGGGGTTTAGAACATGCACCATGAAGGGCTGTCACCTGAGAGGGTGGCCAGAAATTAAAGCAGCTGAGAAAGGGTGCTCTTGAGGGGACCTGTACCACAGAGGCAGTTTAGAAAAGTGCAGGTGCTACCAGAACCCAGCCCAGCTAGACGCGGAGACTGGTGCGCCAGAGGGTTTCGGGGGCCCCAGCCAGGCCAGGAGGCCCTGCACCTGCTCGTGTCTGTGGGGCTGGATGCTGGATAGACTTTAGGACCTGTGGAGTGTGAACGCCTGTAGGTGTCTGTCCTGGGAAGGGCACCTGGATCCTGCTGTCAGCTACTCCCGCTTGCACAGAGCCAGGGCCCTGCAGGCAGAGAAGCCTGGAGGTGGAGTCTTTTGTAAAGGAGACAGGCGGGCTTTCTGGGAACCAGGGTGGCTGGCAGGCTGGGCAGTGTTCCTGGGGATGACGTGCCATGCAGGACAGGCTCAGATCTACGGGCAGAAGTGACGGTCATCTTCTCCCTTCTCACTAGACAAGAGGCATGGGGCAGATACGCCTGCCTCTCTTTGGACGCAGAATCACCGAACAGTATACTGGGAGAACAGTTCCGAGGACACCATTGTATGATGGGAAAACAGGGAAAAGAATGGCTTGACTAAAGCACATCTAATGAGTCAGGGGCTCAAGCGGGAACAAGGCCCAGGTCCAACGCCCAGTGCAGGGACCGAGATATTCTCAAATCAAAACCATCACCTGCAGGAAGACACAGAAGAGAAGGCAAAATGGAGAAGGATTTCAGGAATGAGGAGGGCTGAAGAGGGACAGAGACTAAACTTGGTGCTCAGGAAGCAACGGGAAGGATCTAAGATGCAGCGTGGGGAATGAAGCTTGAGACTCAGGCAAACTCCCTTAAGACAGAACAGTGACAGGAGGAAAAGGACAGTGACAGGAGGAAAGGAGGAGAAAGAAACAAAAAAACGCAGAGGGGGGGGAGACTGCATGAGTCTTCTCAGCCAGAGGGGAGTCCAAGGTCAGAAGAGTCTCCAGGGAACCAGACTAGAGTCTGGGGAAGATCAGGAGAGCGTGAGGCACGTCAGCTAGAAGCGCAGCTCAGGGGCTTGGACTTTGCTGAACCTGCGCTCTGTGCAGGCTCCAAAAGGCACAGCGTGACTCTCCAGCAAGGCTTGGCAGGCTGAGAAGTAGCAGAGGAAACAGATGGGTCACAACGTAGAGGGGACAGAGGATCAAAGGGCAAGTGGGGACGCAGGTGAGTTGGCTGTGGCTCTGCTGGGGCAGAGGAAGGGGGGGGGGAAGCTGGAGAGAGGAGGGTAAGGTGGGAGGGGTCGTTAAAGGTGAGGCCAGAGGTGGGCTAAAGGCATGCGATCACGGAATTCTGGATCCCGAAGCCTCTGGGAGGTAACAGGACCCGAAGTGTGAGGTTGCGCTGATGAAATGTCAATGAGAGCAGGGTCTAGAACCCTGAATCCAAAGGGTGATTGGGGAAGAGAAAACCCAAGTCAGCAGAAGCCTTGCAGGATGGAAAGGACAGTGCTGAGGACAGAGGCAGGGCCCAGGGAATGGGGGTGAAAAGGGAGCTATCAGTTGCCTCCGCCCCAAGGCCCTGATGGGTCCAGAGTGAGAGTCTCCAGCTGGGAAATGGGACAGTAATTTGGACCATTAACAGAAGGAAGAAAGATCTAGAAAGTGCAAGGCAATGAGGCAAGGGCTGGTTGTTGGGGAGGAGGGGTGACACAGCAGACAGGAAAGCCTGGAGGTAGGGGGGACAGGGTGGGGGGGGAGACTTGCCTGGGGCTGCAGGATGCATTTAAGTCCCATCCCACAGTATCATCCATGTACAGACTCATGGTGTCACATTCTCAGGCAGTGCCCATTCCAGGCACCAATTTTGAGCATCTTTACCTAACAACCCTCACTAGGAGCTCCAGAAAGTACCTAAAAAATATCTTTCAGGTGGAAAGGTTTAAGCTCCCATGATTACTCCAGGCCTCCATCTGGAAACTCAGGCTTTCATAAGCTGTTCAAAATCACGCTGCCCTACCATCTATCCCCTTCCTGCTTTATTTTTCTCCACACCTATTATCACCCATCATATTAAATATAAGCTTAATACTTTATCTGCAGTGTTTAGAACAGGCCTAGCACATAGCAGACACTCAGTAAATCTTTTTAGATTGTTGAATACATCATCTTTGCACTCCAAAACTACATTTGGTTGGGGGGAAAACTCTGAAGTCATTCATGGTTTTGAGAGAGAGGTTCTGAACTGGGTTGAGTCCACTGTCTCAGGCAAAGTCAGTGTGGTCTTTGCTGACCTGACACAAGCAATGCCATGACATGCTCTGTCCGCCCCCAATATCCATTAAGTGTGGCTGGGATCCAGCACCACTCCCCCAAACCCAGGAAGATCAAAAGATAGTGTTATCGCTTCTGTTGTTTTTTTTTTAAAAAAAGGTAGTATCATTAAAGGAGTTTCTCTTAACAGTATTTCTTCTTCCTATCTCCTCTAGAAACATGCCCCTGTTGATCTCTGAGCTTGGAAATGTTTCTCGAGCAGGCCCATGAACCCCTAATGCGCCCCTTTCTCCTCTTCTCAGGGTCCGGGAAGGGCCATCACGGATGCATTTCACATGGGCAACCACGCCCACTCCTTACTGCGACAATATTGTAATTTTATTCTTATTTTTCTCCACCAGTTTCTAGCAACTGTGGGCCTACAATTAGCCTATAAAGCCAATCTCTCCGGAAACCAATCAAGTAATACATACCACCACCTGGGCAGAGTCGAGGAACTGGAGGCCAAAGTAATCTGTTTCTATGAGGTCCAAATGGTACACGATCTGATCAAAAAGATCCTGGCCTTTGGCGTGTTTCTGGAAGACAAGTGGGAAGATGAAAATGTAGGATATGACAGCCGGGTAAGGAACAAAAGGCTTCTATTGCATACATAACGTGCCCCAGTACACTCATTTAAAATTCTTAATTTGTTTTACTGTAATACAAGCACGTCATTAAATCTAAGCACTTAAAATGATGAATAAAAAACAATTTCAGAGCATGAGGAACTGATGCCTTCTTATGAGGGCTGGTAAATGAAGGGAAGGGATGAAGCACTGATCCTGGCGCTTCTGGCTGTTTGCTTTTTTATCTGTTGGGCTCTTTTGGTTGTCCACAGCACTGAGGAACCAGTGTGTAGGTAACAGTGTCTACAAATGAACTAAATGACTCCTAATGAACTAAAGACCTACATGGAGAACTAAAACTATGAAACTCTCAGAAAAAAACATGGCACAAATGTTCATGACCCTGAATTAGGCAATGGCTTCTTAGGACTCACAAAACACAGAAAACAAAACAAAACAAAAATAAACCAAACATCCTCAAAAAGTAAAGTTATTGTGCTTCAATGGATGTCAAGACATCATGAAAGTATAAAGACATGGAAAAATAGTTCTGCAAATTATATCTGATAAGGAACTTCGATCTAGAATCAAGAACTTTTACAGCTCATAGTTTTAAAATGGGCAACAGAGATACATACATAGAGACATAGATAGGGAGCTCTCAAAAAAGATATAAACACCCCACAAGCAAATAAAAAGATGCTCAGCATCATGAATCTTTAGGGAAATCCAAATCAAAACCATAATCGAATCCACTTTACCTAGCAGGGTGGCTATAACAACAATGACAGACAGTATCAAACGCCAGAGAGCCTGGAGCTCTTGTACACTGCTGATGGGAATGCAGTTGTAGAGCCACTTTGAGTTACAGCCTGGCAGTTTCTCAAATCGTTAAACAAGTTATCACGTGACCCAACAAGTTATCACATGACCCACTCCTAGGTACACACCCTAGAGAAATGAAAACAGAAATGTGTACACAAATGTCCATTTGTACAAAACATCTTGACTCATAATGGCCCAAAAGCAAAAAAAATCAAATAGCTATCTATGAGTAATAGATAAAACCTGCTCCCCATATCTCTCTCTCCACATAAAAACCAAATCAAGCCTAGGACCAGTCGAACCACTAGATCCAACGGACAACACAGGACCTGCAGAGGGTTATTCTAAACTACTGTGGGTTGGGGGTGGCAATCAGCAAGATCCAGCCTGTAGGAAATTCTAGAAACAAATGACTTAATTTCTTCAACAAACAGATACAAGGAAGAGTAAGAGACGAGATGGAAGGGAAACCTATAGATTGAAATAGTCTTTGAGACACATTAAACAAAAACCTGAGAATATTAAAAACGGAACACCAATGCCTAAGTTGCATGCATAGCTGATAAAAATGGAGATGTGCTTACAACAAAATCAGGGCAGTTGCAATTTGGGGGGTGCAAGGTGCTGTGACTAGCTAGGGCTGTGTGGTGGTGCTGACCTGGCGGGCTGGCAGGGTTCCACTTCCAGACTAGGTAGTGGTGGTGGTGAACAGAGTCTGCTGTCCTGAAATTCATTAAGGCCCAAGTGGCCCCACATCCAACCTGCTCCCATTTGGATGTCTCTGAGGGCTTACCACCCAGGTGTGTGATTTCATCACTTGCAGAGTCAGAACTGAAGACCAGCCCCAGGCATGTAAAGTGAGGGCAGTGAGTCCAAGCTCCTGTCTGGTCATTCCAAGTCTTACTTTTCTGGTGTCTTTCCAAAATGGCTCTTAATTTAACAGGAGCAATACATGGAGGCTGGGAAAAGAATCTTCTGGGGGTGATGGGTCGCTGCCACTACACCAAACCAGCGCCTCCCCTGGCAAGACCCTCACTCAGCTGGACAGAGGTGGCAGGCAGTGGGGTCTGGTAGACAGAAAATGTCATTCAAGTGTCTTCTTCTGCTAAAGACAGAATTCACAATGATCCTTTCTGATGCCAAAAAGCATGTGGTAAAATTATGAGGCTTCTCAACCCAAATGCCCAAAAGTAGATGATTGGATTAAAAAGATGTGGTACATATGCACAATGGAATATTACTCAGCAACCAAAAAAAAACAACAAACACATGCCTTTTGCAGCAACATGGAGGGAGCTGGAAGGGATCATGCTCAGTGAAATAAGCCAGAAAGAAAGAAAAATACCAGATGGTTTCACTCATAGCAGGAGCATAAAGGGCCAGGGGTGGGGAATAATAATAATGAACAACTACATACCAGAGACATTCTACAGTGGTGGAGTGGGAAATGGAATAAAAAATGGGGTGGGGAGTGCACCGGACTGTGGAGATGACACACGGGTGATCTGGTGCTGGTGATGGGGAGCCCACGGGGAATACAACTAAGATGGGAAAAGGCACAAAATGATGTTAAAATAGACAGTTATTTAAAAAATGCATTAAGTATATATTAATACATTAAAAATACATTATATTCTTGTGAAAAAAATTACGAGGATTCTGCAGATGGGCATGGGGGACCTCCAAACAGAGGTCCCAGTGGGTAGGATGAAGAATGCGTGGGGTGAAGACCACAACACTGGAACCCGCTGTCTCTCACTCCTCCCAGCCTGAAGCGTATCCACGTTTACAGCAAAGAAGGCTCCAGATACCTTAGTCCACCTGTTCCACCAGGGCATCAGTGGTAGGGTTGGGTGGAGAGGGGAAAAGGACCCTGGAAGTCATAAACCATCAGCCCAGGGCTAGCCGAAACAAGGGGTCCTTCGTCCCAGAGATGTGCCCACTCCTGGGTCTTCTCGCCAGCAGCAAGTGCCTTCATTAACTGCAATTGCTGTTGCAACCGTGGCTATTTCAGTCTGAGCCTTCCCAGCGGGCGGGCACAGCTGTGTTCAACTGCACCCTCCTCACCACCCTCCATCTGCAAAGCATGGTGCCAGCCTGGCACACAGCAGGCACTGCATGGATCCTGGGCACTGGCGGGCTGGGGCAATGTGGGGTCTGAAGCCAACAAACAGATCTGGGGATAGGTGAGCATGCATAGAATGTTTCACCAAGCAGCCGGCAGGAAAAATGAAAAAAAAAAAAAAAAAAAAAACCTCATTAAAATCTTTTCAAATTAAATATTCTACGAACAAGTGCCTAGGGAACTGTGCTGTACTTCCAAGGCTGTTTACCTCAACACGATTTTGTGGCTATTAAGTGAAGTGCTGTCTAGTGGTTATAATGGGAGATCTGTTAATGTGACAAAATTGGAAGCTGCTCCTCGTTCTCTGTTAACTAGGTCTCCTCTTCAGTCTGAATTCATTTTCATTCAACAAATATTTACCCAGTGCTCAGCCAGCACCAGCCATCATCCTAGGTGTGTGGTGCACAGTGGGGCAGGAGTCTGAAGGGAGGAACTGCAGGTGAGTACCGGGTGCTGCTCGGGGAGCAGTCACCCAAAGCACTGAGCTCCAAGCCCACAAGTTCTCAGAACCACGTATCGCCCTACATTCTCAAGCTGAAGAAACTGCATGCGAAACCTTACTAGGTCCAGATTGCCATCCTGGAACCTGCCAGCTGCCCCCAGGTGCAGCCGGCCACAGGGCTCTCTCCCGAGTCCTGGCATCTTCTACTCTTCTCAACACATCACTTTCCCAAGAACTACAACCAGAGGTTTTGAGTCACTGGGTCTCCTTCTGATCTGAAAGGAGCTCAATACCCACGCTCATTAAAGTCATGTGCACAGTAAGGGCACAGAGTTGCCAAGTACAGACTGGGCCAGGCAGGCAGCCAGCCAGCAGGGCCAAGCATGGACATAGCGCTGTCTTTGCTGGCAGGCCAAAGGGTTCCCAGCCATACTCCTGATAAGGAAGACCACTAGCCGGGTGATATCTTAACTGTCCCCCGAATAAATTAATGATCCTGACCCTGTAAGATAAGAAGCCACTGGCAACGATGTAATAGATTCACTGGCCCTGGAAGCAAGAAGACTGAAGCTGGCCCATCCAAATCACCGCAGTCTCCGCAGGATGGGGGCCAGGCCTCCCAGAAGGCTTGAAAGGAGAAAATGAGCTGGGAGTGAGGGCGCTGGGAGAGCGTCCGCATCCTAGTTGTGAGCTAAAATGGAAATAGCCTGGCCTCTGCACAGTGGAAGGATTTCAGCAGCCGGCTCGTGGCAGGCCCTGGGGACCCCCTGTTCACCCGCCCCACAGGCATCAGGTGGCACGGCCCTCTGCACCTTCAGAAGGGCCACACCACTTCCTCTGGGCTCAGCAACAGCCCTGCCCGCCCCTGGCTGTAAGTCTTGCTCTCCCTCCTACAGCCCATCTCCTCTGTTTCCAGAATGGCCTCTGATCACACAAGTCCTCTTCTCGGTCATTTCTCTGAACAAAAACACCCACAAGAGAATGAACTACAGGCAGCTCAGCTGTATTCTGGGTTTCTTCACTATCAATACTGCCCAATCCAACACACGTCCTCTCTCCCTCAGGTCCTACACATGCCCTCAAATGCCAAAGCATACACGCAACTGCCTCACGCACCCCAACAATGCAGCAGGCCCCACCCCAGGATTGGCGTGCCCTTCCTCTGTGTGGGAACCCCGCTCCGTACCTCCAGGAAGCCAACCCCCACACACTGTCGTAAGTCGTCACTAAATTGCAGTAGGCAGCATCCCGCCGGTTCGTCTCTGCTTCTGAACCAGCTGACATCCTGAAGCTCAATAAACGTAGATGCGGTATGATGGAGGAGGAGCCCCAGTTCCCACAACAGCCATCAAAGGACCCACTTTCCAGTCTGCTCTCTATCCGTGTCTGGGCTGGGAATCTGTGCTAGCCGGGGGGGCCTGGGTGCACCCCCATTTTCCCTCCCATGAGACTAGGACAAAGGTGTTTGGAAACAGATCACACGGGGTCTAGCCTTGACTGTGTCTCATACTGTGCCTTATACACTGGCATACTATAAATGCTGGGTTTTTCACATCTGGATTAAAAAAAAAAAAATAA